GGAACTGGTAAGCTTAGTACCTCCAAGCAGGGAACCCAGTTAGTCGCCAGGAGGTTGGCTCGAGGGGAACGTTTGCATATATGAGTGAGGCATAATCAGTCACATTTAGACCGCCAACTTCATTTCGCTTCGCAACACATCTGCCCATCCATCAATCAAAATAGCCATCCATTCAAACATCCATCAGTTCATCCACCCAACTATCCATTCAAGTATTCATCGCCTACAGCCTGGGTGGGGCTATAAAATAACCAACAACTGCGTCCAATATTGGGACCAAGGTTGCGGAATAATTGGCCTTAACGGCGTTTTGTACACTGTGATCTTGGTGTTTGGAGATAGAGCTCATGATTTCAGCAGAGAGATACAAGCTCCTCCTCGTCGTCGTCTCCTACTCTTCTTCTTCTTCTTCTTCTTCTGTCGTATCATTGATACCAGGTTACAGCCCAGTGTCGTGGTTTTCTGTGTTTGTCTTGCGCTTCTCGAGTGATTTGAGTAATGGATTTTTATATATCTTTGAGGGTTTTAGCTACACCATTTATCCAACTCTTTCTTGGCCTTCCTCTCGCCTTCCTCCCAAGAACTTATTTGTAACATTTGTAGACCAAGAGAAAGCTTTCGACAGGGTCGATAGACAAAAACTATAGAAAGTAATGGCTGATATGGAGTAAGTGAACACCTCATTGAAGTTTGCGAAAGCTTTTATAGCGATTATAGAAGCGTAGTTATAATAAATCAGGGAACAAATTAACCATTCAAAGTAACGTCTGGAGTAAGACAGGGGTGTGTCTTATCACCACTCCTGTTTATCACCTACATTGACAGATAAGCAAGGCTGCCAGGCCCAGGAACGAAAATAATAGTAACATCAACGAATTACTCGATGATCAGGTTTTGATTGCAAATACAGCCATGTATTTGCAACAGCATCTTTCATCCATCAATGAAGAATGTAAATCAAATAATATGAGAATCAACACAGAGAATACAGAAGTGTTGACAATGGTAAAAAAGAAGCAGGATTTAAACATAGCACTAGAGCATACATTTATTAGACAGGCATCTGAGTTTAAATATCTTGAAACAACATTCACTGAAGATTGTAAACTGGACGAAGAAATAAACATTCGATGCAGCAAAGCAGGTCAAGTATTGAAACAGCTAGCTCCCCTCTTACAGCATAAGGCAATCCCAGACAGTACAAAGATCCCTCTCATTCAAAGCATATTTATTCCCATCCTATGCTACCAGTGCCAGACATGGTCACTCACAACAAAACACAAAAGAAAATTAATAACCATGGAAATTATGTGTCCGAGAAAGACTACAGGAGTGACCAGAAGGGATAAAATCAGGAATGAGGTCATGCGAGATAAAGTCGGCACAGAACCACTTCTAAATTACATACAAAAACAACTCATATCAAAAAGTTTGCCCACTTGGAGAGAATGCCTCCTGATGCTATACCATACAAGACATATACCAAATGAAGAGAGGGATGTAGAGCAAGAGGTAGATCAAGAACAATATGGGAAGAAAACATAAGAGAAACTCTACAGCACCACGATGTGTCTATGGTCGAAGGAGCCAGAAGAGAAGGAAGCAGAACCGTCCATCTCTCTTGACACCAGAGCGGTAAAAAAAGGACCCGAAGAAGAAGAAGAAGAAGAAGAAGAAGAAGAAGAAGAAGAAGAAGAAGAAGAAGAAGAAGAAGAAGAAGAAGAAGAAGAAGAAGAAGAAGAAGAAGAAAAAAACGAAGAAGAAGAAGAAGAAGAAGAAGAAGAAGAAGAAGAAGAAGAAGAAGAAGAAGAAGAAGAAGAAGAAGAAGAAGAAGAAGAAGAAGAAGAAGAAGAAGAAGAAGAAGAAGAAGAAGCATGCAGATTCGAACCTAAGACCTCCACACTGTATAATTGTTGATCAAATTAATATTTTTATTCAAACCTTCATTTATTTGTCCATTGCATTGAAGAGGCCGTTTTAATTCCTTCTCTCCCCCCCCCCCCCCCCCCCCCCCACTTACCGGTCTCTCTTTATCTCTAGCCCCTGTCTTTCCATCTATTTCTTTCTCATTATTTATCTCACTCCCTTTCTACTCATCTCTCTGTCTCTCTCATTCGCTCTCTCCTTCTTTTGATTCTGCCTTTATCACTTGTTCTCCCTCTCTCTCTTTCCGTCTTTCTCTTTAACGAGCTGTCTTTTCGTATATTTTCCTGTCTCATTCTCTTACTCCATCTGTACTCATCAAATACCTTGATGAGATCAATAAAAGCAACATAGTGGTTGATTTTGTTCGCGGCTTTTTTCCTGCAACTGTCGTAATGAAAATATCATATCAGTGGTAGATCGGTTCCCACGAAAGCCACACTGGAACTCTGGGTAAACGCGGTCCCTAAATAAAATGTATAATGTTGTACTTTTCACTACCCTTGTGATAATTAACATGCCTTATAAAATGCACTTTTGTTAAATATACTAAAATTACAACAAACTATAAACTGTCAATGTACACAACTGATCGGCAGATGCACTCTGGCTTCAAAGGAAATGAGGATCCTGTCTTAGTTAGCTAGTTAATCGATACATTATCTTCATTGCAATCAGACAAGTCCACAAGCACTTGGATCCAATCTTTAGTATATCCCTGAGCGTGTGGCGACTGATAACACCAGTTCTATGTTGGTTTACTATTCTTCTTTGGCTACCTGTATAGTCATCATGCTTGACGACACCTTTATTTCCACTTGATTGTTTCCGGTGTTACGGAGTTTCGTGCAGCTGAGCTGAAACCTATCTATGTTGGTCATGCCCCTTTTTTTTGCAGAACCTATTTCTAGGACGACAGCAGCAATTTGTGGATAGTTCTTAACTAGTATGACCCTGACCTTGAAGACCATCAGGGGAGACACAATTAGAATCTTGCACAGTTTTTGACGACTGCACAAGCGACACATCCTGAAATCATCAAGCTCATGTGGTCAATGATCATTATCATTAATCAGCAGGTTCTTCAGAGAATGTCGCCCTCGCCACATCACGCCTGAAAATATCTGTGCGTCTTCCGTATCTATCTAGCCAGTAAGGTCGTGTCCGTCTCAATGTGCAGGCTTGGATATGATTAGGTGATGTTTCCTTTATTGCGCAATCCGTTGGTGGTGTTACTGCTGATTAGGCTTTCTCGTGAGTTATTCATGATGATAGTGCTGTACCAGCTCTTCGTGTTGTTTTAGTAGTTGTCATCGCTATTGTTCTGAGTAGAAATCACAGCTGCAGCAATGGCAGAGGACGTATTAACATACAGTAAACGCCCCCCCCCCCCCCCCCCCCTTTAAAAAAAAGTTGCTGGTACTCACCACACCACAGAGGTAGTCGCGTGGTCTAGCGGCTAGACGCTCAGCTGCGGATCGGAAGGTCGCAGGATTAAAAAAAAAAAATAACACTGGCTCCCAGGTTGACCCAGCCTTGAGTGGGTACCAGGTACTTTCCCAGGAAGTAAAGGCGGCCGGCGTGATGCTGACCACATCACCCATCAAGTGCCGTTTTGTCTATAAAATACAGGTCTAGCCCCAAAGACATGGAAAAGGGTCCTTTACTTACTTAACGGACTCACCACAGTGTCTACTACAGAAGTGCTGGCAAAAATTATATATAAAAATGCACTTTTACTGCTTAACGCCAGCAAACAGAAAGAAACCAGGAGTAGTAACAGCAGCAGCTGGTGGAATAAAAGGAATTAAAGCAAAAGTAATTCTCACCATTCTGATAGTCACACAATTAAACGAAAGTCATAGACACAAAACGATTATGCTTCGCAAAAACCACTTCTTCTTATCTTCCCACCTTGTACCTCATCAAAGTTAGTTAGTTAGTTAGTTGGGTTATCCTCATTGCACTCCGGACATGTCCATAGGTGCTCAGATCCTCCCCTCAGTATGAACCCCAACGTCCGATGGCTAATAGTACCAGTTCTATGTTGATTAACAAGTCTTCTGGCGTGTCTGGTGTGCGTCTCGTTTTTTTTGCTGTGCCGATCTTAATTCCCAAGTCTGCCATTCTGGCGAGTGATGTGGATTCACTGCCACCAAAGTCCTCTATCCTTCTCATTTCTCGGAGGGCATGGATAATATCATCATGATCCATAGGCTGACCGTCGGTGGTGATAGCGGATCCAGCCAACCTGTCAGCTCTTTCATTTCCATCGACGCCTGCGTGTCCCGGAACAAAAATAAAGGTGACTCCACGCACAGTGGACTTCTGTAATGATTCAAGCCATTGTCTTCGCCTGAACCCTCCGAATCATACTCATTGAATCACTGAGTATACACACGCGGTGTATTTTTGTGTTTCAAGCCAGGCAAGCGCTTGCGTCACTGCCATCATCTCCATCGTCATGCTGCTGGTTGTCATGGAGAAGGCGCCGTTGGCTTCTTTGACTGTTCTGCCCGCTGAGCGTGCTGTAAATGCCCATGCGCTTCTCCTTTGGCGTATAACGGATCCGTCTGTATAAATTATTGCATCTGCTTCGTCTGAATTTTCACCGATGAGAGCGTTGACCTCTGCATTAACAGCAACAGGATTCTCTTCTCTACATCGCCTGTTGAGTGTGACAATACAGGAAAATGTACAAATAAACGCCTGAGGCACAGGTATCCATTCTGCACCAGGTATGCTGTCGGTTAGGCTGCATATTTGAATAATAACATCTTCTGCCCGACCTAGCCACGATTTCCCCCTCTTCAGTCTGTCGCCCTTTTCACTAAAAAGCGCTTGATGCAGTGGGTGTTTCTTATCAGCACATATTTTGAGATATGCCCGAGCATACCTCATCAAAGTGTCAGGGGGAGATGTAAGTGTCCTGATTATATGGTCATCCTAGGCTACATGTCTTTTTTGTTTATTTTGGCTGCAACTTATAATCTGCAGTATTATTTTTTGGACAAGAAAACAAATCAAATAAATAAACAAAAAGACAAATTTATATTTTGAAGAAACTATTATTGCTGTCAGGATTGTGATAATTCCTCAAGAAATACATTTTCAATAAATGTGAACAATTCATTGTCTGGATTCTGCGAAGCATTTGTGATATCCAATTCTTCTGAGAGTAAAATAGGTATTCTTCCTTCTTTTAATTTACACAGAATTTGTTCCTTAGCTTTCAGGACATGCTGACTTCTTTCTTTTAACTGTTCAGGTTTCATGCAAGATTTAACTGAGGAGATAATAAAATAGAACAACTGCAATCAACAAAACACAATTTTGGAAATATAGTTACCAAGCATTGCACTGTATTTAACAGTATTCACATGATTAGAAAACATCACATTACGATTATCATAATGCTGTGTCAATATATACCACACTTTGTTCGCAGTTTATCCTTCCATTTTGTTCTATCCTGCTGCTTCTTCTTCTTCTTTACGTCCTCTTTTACCCTTCGGGTGTCAAGGGAGATAAAAAGTCCTGCTTCATGCTCTTCTGGCTGCTTCGACCATAGATATATTGTAGTGCTGTAGAATTTCTCTGGTATTATCTTCCCATCCTTTTCTTGGTTAACCTCTTGCTCTACGTTTGGGTGTTTGTGTATGTTGAGGTGTTTGTGTATCTATGGGTATATTTGAGAAAGTATTTATGAGCCAGAGTGCATGTATATGTGTGTATGTGTCTCTGTGTGTGCATGTGTGACTGTGTGTGAGTGTCTGTGTGAACGTGTTTGTCTGAAAGCATGTGTGTGTGTGTGTATACATGTGTGTGTCTCTGTGTGTGGATGTCTGTGTTTGTGTGTGTTTGAAAGTGTGTGAACGTGTGTGTCTGAAAGCATGTATGCCTGTATGTATGTTTGTTTTCTGCTATCAAACGCATAGCTGCAGTGACTGCCTCCACTTCCATCATTCCATCCTCATGCCTCAAGTTGTACATTAAAAAAAAAGTTTCATTTTGTTCTGCCACAATCTTTTCTTCATTCTAGCTAAAAATTCCTAGCCAGATCTTACACCCTGATGAAGAGAACCGTCGGTGTACACTACTGCATCATCTAGCCCAGCCTTGTCATCTATCAGTTGTTGTACCTCTAATTCAAGTCTGGATAGCACACAGAATATCTCAAAGTATTATGATTAATTCTGTTACAGAAGACTGGGAAGAAAGGAAGGGGGATCATTCTACTGTAACATTTATATTCAACGGTGCTTTAGGTTTAAACAATGGATCAACATCATGGCACAAGGGTAATAACCCATAAGTGCTCCCTTAGCTTTTAACTCAAGCCTAAGTCAAAAGAATATATAAGCTCAGTGCACGAACTATGTAGCACCGGCGAGGATCCTGGATAACTTTGGGTAAATGTTATCCTCTACATTTTGTCTAGGCAGCGCTGTTAGGCTACTCTTTTTGATTTCCAACTGCCAATGGATTTTTTACTGGCGAAATATTCACACAGGGGTCTAATCTTACTACCCAGAGACCAGGGGAAATTACTAGATGTCCCGTGAAAAGATCCCAGCCTTCACCAGAGCTTGAATCCGAGACCTCCAGCACTCGGAGTGGATGCCGTGCCAAAAAGGTGCAAATGTTGCTTTTCAGCTGATTTATTAGTATTAGATCCCAAGTTTCACACCTTGTGTTATGAAAGTCTGTAGCAAACTACAGCCAGACCAGATTTTCTTGGCCATCCAGCAGCTTTTTCTGTGTAGAAATGTGCCCTTATCACAGCCAGATCTCCTGTCTCTGTGACTGTGTGTAGATGGTATATCATTTCTTTAATCCATCCCTACTGCGGTCATCTTCTTTGATTCCATTGAGCTATTTTCTTCATGATTATTTGCTCCAGAACTTTGTGTTGTTTCTTCTTTTTCCTCTTTTGCCTTTATCACTGAACCAACTCATGCCAAGTTGTCCTACCCTGTGCCTCACTCCATGTGCTCCTCAACTTTTCACTTCACTCTAATTCCCATCTGTGAACATGTGAGTTGTGTGTATGTGTGGGTGTGCACACATGCATGCACATGTGTGTGTGTATGTGTGTGTGTGTGCATGCATGGTTAAAAAAGAGAAAAGAAAAAGAAAACACGTGCATACATGTGTGCAAATCTGTGCTTTCTTTTTTACTTTCTCCCTTTTACCCTGTGAGTTGCATTTTTTTTTTTTAAACAAGGCCAAAATATTTTTTCCTAGATATTATTTCTCTTAGTAACTAATCTTCTTCAACACGCAGCTCCTGTTCAACAGATTGGCTTGTTCTTTTTCTTCATCAAATTAATTTCTAGCATTCTTCTGCAACATTTATATTCAAAGATGTATATGTGATTTTCAGCTGATTTGTTAAATTCCAAGCTTGACACCTATATGGTGTCACAGAGATATGATTGCTCTTAGTATTCTGACTTTTGTTGCTCTATCTGTTCAGATTCACAAATATTTAATTCCTTTAGTTTTTGCAGAGCAATGTTTGTTCTGAAGGAATTAAATCATATGACAAAATCCTTAAAGTAAAGCCAAGGGAGAGAACTATGTAAATTCCATGTAATAAAGAGGTGGAGAAAAGACACTGGCACTGGATAGGGCCCACACTGACAAGACTGGCAAATATAACTTAATTGTCCATGCAGTGCAATCAACAGTGGGGAAAAAAAGTAGACTGAAAAAAAAACACAGGGAGAAGAGAATAAGAGACTAAGGTGAACAAGATGGACGCTGGTGATGGTTACTAAGTAGACCATTAAATATAAGTAGCAACCTTTAAGGAAGAAAATCAAGCCTTTTTAGTTGAAATGCTAAATAAAGCTTTTAAAAATACCATGAACAAAGAAGTACTGAAATGCTGACATTCTTAAAGAACTGAGCATCGAGAAAAATTGGTTCATAAACAGCGTCTTGCCTCTGAAGCTGAGACTGAAATTCACCGCCAACGAACCCATAAATACAAGAACATCCTAGTGTCGATATTCAAGAATGGTTGCACCTGCGGCGCTTCTACCTGCAGTATTTCTTACTTGTACACAGGCGCCTGCGCCGCCTCAAAGAGACTCACGACAACACAATCTTCCACAAACATCATATATAGCAAGCGAATGCTGAACGAAACCATAACACCCCCGCAACAAAGGAGAAGCCCTGCGACCAGGCATGAATGAGGCATGAATGAGAAGGGAAGTCACTCTCTTTTTGCAGACCAAAACCTTACTTGTACCCAAAAAAAAGACATACATTCAGAGATTTCCTGTGCGAGTGCTAAAGCTCCATTTTTGGGGGTAAAAAAAAAATAAACCCATGGTCCCCCCCCCCCCCTCCCTCCCAATCACTTCCAACAAGCACATCATGAAAGGTAACTATTTAGGGGTTTTTCTTTCTACGCCCGAGTGCATCTCCCTGAGAGGCAAGGAACCAAAAGTCACAAATGTGACTGATCCGTGGGCGAACAACCAGGATTGTCTGCCGGAGTTTACAGCCGGTGAACACGAAGAAAGAAGATTAGGAAGATACTCAAAGATGAATAGTAAATATTTGCATTAAGTGATAAATGATTCAAAATAATAATTTTCAAGGATATGACATTAAAAAAAATCGCTGAAGGATATGTGATCAACAATGAAGATACTCACACTCAGCCATTTTTGTAGCCACACATTTTCTAAGAATAAGGTCAGCCTGGTGCAGTAAGCTCGTGGAACATTCAATACGGCTCTTTTTTATTTCCTCAGTATCAGCTTTTTCTAGACAATGGACAGGGTTCAGGATAGCTGACTGTATCATGGTGAGTATCCGGTCACTGTAATGAATTAAAGTGCCCATTTAAACATTGCTAAAACATAACAGTCTTCCAGTCCAATATGGCAGGTAGGCAATATAGCAGTAAGTGACCATTAAAGTCTTGGTACAATATTTGCTTCTGGCTATGGTTTACTGTTTATTTTCCCCCTTATGTGGACTTAAAAGTATATAGTTTCATCACTCAGCTAAAGAAGTGAGTGCAGGATGTTGTGATATTGTGAGTTATGAATTGCATGTGGAATGCTTTTCGTCTGTGCTCAAAGTGGTTTGTGTCACGAACAACATATTGTTCTTCTTCTTCAGGTACACTGGCGGTAAACTCCAGGGGAAAGTTCTGGACATAAGTCTTGTTCCAGAACTTGAGTTTTGTGTGCACATCTGTTTTACAGATATGGCTTTTTTGTAAGCAGACTGCTGGAGCTTTGCCTCTCTGCCAGATGCCCTCTGACTTCACAGGAAACACCCCTAATTCATCAACTTTTATGGCATGCTTGTTTTGGGGGGGGGGGGGAGGGAGGAGGAGTCTATTCATTTTTTTATTGTGTGTGTCCAAAATGGGCGCCTGGAACCAACATAAGTAAAGTAAAAATAAAGATCCCTTTTTACGCCTAAGGCGCATCGGGTATATGGGCAGAGCGTCCCATATTTTAACAGACCAATCTGGAACCAACATGGGGAGAAATAAATACTCAAAAACATGTTGAGGGTCTGACAAAGAACAGGTGGTGTCATATTCAATAATCCTGTGCAAGAACTGATTTGCCAAGACTGATATTAGCTTTGCCAGGACTGCAGTTTGATTCAGATTTTACAATCGACTTTGCAGCCAAATGTATATAAAATTTTAAACTGGCAAATCAGCCATGTGCACATGTGGATTGGCACCTGAGACAACAGATCATGTCCTCCATTACTGTCCAAAATGCAACATATCAAGGCAAAACTTTTGGCTAAGAAAAACATCAGTGCAAGTCAAACTTTACGGGTCGCTGAGTGAATTACAAGACAGTGAAGTTCATACTAGAGACAACATTGTAGATACAGATAATTTATTTCAAGCGAATGAAAGAAGAAGAAGATTTACATTTTGTTCTCAAGGAATGGCGACTGGTGTTCTGTCATTTTTTTCCACTGGCACAGCATTTGAGCAGTTATGGGGTGACCCTTCAGCAGTGATGCTGAGACTGAGATTAATGACAAGATATATTTGCAGCTGCAGTGGCAAAGTGATTAGTTGCCTTCAAAGAGAGTAGGCTCTGGGTATGCAGATCAGTCTGCATATACCATCAATGCTTTTGTTTATTTTACTTGTTATTAACTCTTTGAGTCCCAAGGAACGCATCATACATTCATGGCTTCCTACCTAGAAGCCCAATGAACGCATGATGTGCCGATTTTATGACTTTATTTACTACCCCCTACTCCTGTGATGCTAAACCCCCTGGGACTCAAAGAGTTAATACTATGTATATTGTTACTTGCTCAGTTCTCTGATGCAGTAGCCACTCCAAGGTACTACTACTGATTGTTCCCATGAGGAGTTGGTTATAATGTCTCACATCTTGGCCTCAAAACGGACACAGATGTGCTTCACCCTGCTTTACTCCCATACCATGCAATCGTTTTACTGTCAGAGATTCCTCATTCTAAACTAACTTAGTCTGTACAGTGTTGGTGACATCTGCTTTTTGCATGCTTCTTCGCACTGGAACACTGCTTGCAAGCCGGTCCGCTCACTCGTTATCTTTCACGCCATCATGACTAGGTGTACAGAACCAGGTGTTGTAGTTTGACTGTGATTTCTGAATGCTATCTAGCCATTCAAAGCGTACACTTCCTGTTGCGATTTTCTGAAGCATGTTCATGGAGTTGATACAATTTCTGCATGTATGACTGCTTGTTCCGCTGCCCTTCTATGTGTTTTAAGATCTTTAGAATGATAGAAAAGGTGTATAAAAACTGATGTGCTGGAACTAGGCCAAAGTCAGAGGTTGACAAAAAACTATGACTGTCTGCTTGAATTTACAAACAGCGAAAACTACGAAGAAAAGACAGAGGAAAAATTAATCTTTTGACCGTTCTTCTGGGAAAATGATTATCTCTGCATCATGAATATGTTTTAGCACAGGCTGTTTCGCAACCTGTCTGAAGATATCCACCTATCTGTAATACTGTATTCCTCTTGCACACATCCTCCCCACTTTACCTTTTTCTTCTTCTTCACTTCCTCCAGCTACTTCATTTAAGTACTGAGCAGAGATTAAAGGATCCTCTGTGTGCTCTTTTTTAATGTGATGTATAATCTGGTTTTCATTTCTTTAAAGATATTTCTGATGCTATCATTCCATGACCTGCATGGTCTTCCTCTTACTCTGTGTCTAGAAAAAGTCATCATATGTTGCTGTGTCTTAAAAAAACAATCGGCCACCAGCTGCATGCGATAGCAAAGGACAGAATGACTTGGCGTGAGTTGGTTGAGGGCCTATGCTCTATTGGGGGCTAGAAAGGCAGAAGAAGAGACCAGCTGCTACTGTGTCTTCTGTCTCCTCTTTCTTCTTTGTGCTCATCAGCTGCAATCTAAGCAGAAAGTTCTAGCTGTTAAGTCTATTTCTTTGGTCGTGTTATGTAACTTGACCGTTGCATGCACATGTGTTTAACATATTTGGCTTATTTGGGCGCAGACTGTTTGTTACTGCCTCTCAGGCAGATGCACTCTAACTGTGAATGAAACACCCCTTATTAGTCATCTTTTACAATATGCCTAATAAGAGAAGGGGGCAGCAGGTCTATTTAAAATAGACCTACACTCACACAGCTGAGTTTTCCAATAACAGTCAGCTATCATCTTTGCTGTGTGTTCAAATAACAATCAGCTATCATCTGTTGATGTATCTTCAAAGCTTCTTCTTTTTTTTTAAACGATCAGTGGTTGTAAACTGCAGCAGAAAGTTTTGGTTATTCAACCACTTCTGGACTTTTGTCTAGCTCCAGGATTTGAATTTTGCATGAATATCAAATTTACAGATCTAGCTTATTTCTGTGTGCGGAGTGTTGGCTCCTTGCCTCTCAGGCAGACGCACGCTCCAACTTTGAAGAAAACATCCATCCTGTCTGTGCTGGCCAGGCTCTAAGGTTGGAAACTTGTTGCTAGGGTGACCACGGAGAGGTGTGGATGGTCTTAATGAGTCATAATTTCTATAAAATGCCATTCATTCACAAGGCTCTCCCCCCCCCCCCCAACTTACTATTTTTAGTAAAGATAATCAATTCCGGTCCTCCTAAATGTTTGCGTAAGTGCAAACAATAACAGTGCCATTAGTTAGGCTTCCTGTGAACAAGCCAGGAAGTCGGTAAAGTGACCTTTATGGGAGATGAGACCCAAACAGAAGTGTTGGGTTTGTGGCTTCTGGGGTGATAAGGTTAAATAAATGAATACAAACAGAAAAACTATTGCTCCCATATCAAACATACATAAGTGGGTGATTTATTAATATCCGACCTCAAACAGGAAAAATCCACAGGTCACATGACAGTCTAATATTTCAGGAGCTGGTAGGCTGCATGCAGTCGTGGGACCTAGGTTGCACTCTCGCAGGACATAGGTGGGTTGGGGTTAGGGCCAGTTCTAGATGTTTTGGGGTAATTAAAAGCATCAGAAAGCTGGGAAACCCAGTCTTACCACTCTATAAAATGTTGGACTGTCCTGTGACATCATCTGGGGTAGGATATTAATAAAGTACCCACAAGTGATAACAAAAAACAGTGCTGGCTTACATATCTATACTGTCTTCAGCCCTGATGGTTATACTGTTTGACTCCCAGTAGTGTTTCTCTTGATCAGGGGGTTCAAGTTTCTCTGACATTTTCAGTATCACCTCATCTGAAACTTGGTTAATTCCTTGTCTGTTTTTATTCCTTTCCGCTGCTTTCTCACAAGAACATTGCAGATAAATCTGGCAGAATCCTGTTCCATCTAAATAAAACCCCCAAACAGGATGAACACTTGAAAAGAGAATGATTATATTTCAATTAATCTAGCATTTATGACTAAATTATTTAACTTGCAATACAGAAAAGGGGATTTTATTTAATGTACTGGATTTCATGATCAATACAACCTAAAATGGATACTATGAAGTTTCCCGGGAAGTCAGTTAGTCTACGTGACACCATATATTATCTATTCCTGTGGTTTGTAACCTTTTTTTTTAACCCCCGCTCCCCTCCCCCAAACCACACTTTAAATCACAAACCTTTTCTGTCTTTCATGTGTTGATTATAAATGAAAGTCAGCTCTGTGGCTAAGTCGATGCGGACACTTCGTAATGCCGGGGTGCCGGGTTCGATCCCAGCTGCGGGTCATGCGCCTTGCGTTGGTTTCGACAGTGGTATCAGGGGGCTGACCGTCCAGAAAGCAATGGTAAACTACTGGATGTAAATTTGCCTAGAGAAACCACACAACAGCCAGGGGCTGCTGGGGTTGGTTCTGCAATGTCCTGTAAAGGATACGCAACTAACAATTATAAATGAAGTATTAACTCCTTTCAAACCATGACCAATATACGGGTTAAAATTTCATCTACCATTATGACTACAATGTTAATATAACAGTCACATTTGCGGCCCAGGTTATTGTGCATTTCTTTATTTATTGTGACATTCAGTAAAAGTAAACTTTCACTGGAATTATGTCCCTTCGATTATTCCCCCCCCCCCTCTCCCTTTTTCTACTTCCCTTGAAAATTTAATATTTAAAATTACATTTTGTTGTTATCTTCCATGAAATGTAAATCTTCCAAATTGTTAAATACTGCAATTATTATTACAGAGGATGCCTCGGGTGCACTTAGGGGCAGTTATTAAAGATACAGCAGGGGTGGAGACAACGATGAAGTAGAAGAAGGGATATTAAATATAGGGTTTGAGTTAGACTTTAATTTCCATTAGGCCTACACCTAGGGCAGCGGTGGAGACCAAGATGAAGTAGAGGACGGGAGAATAAGATTTTCTTTCACTATCCTGGGTGAAGCCTGGCAATTAAATCTAGTATATTTACATACTAGATTTAAAGAGAGAAAAATGTAGAATGTAGATCAATAAAAATAATATTTTTAAAAAATGCTATTTATTAGTGACCAGTGTAATGTTTTTTAAAGAATTTTTTCAAGAAATTATCTCGGGTTCATGATCCATTATTTTAAGCATTTGTGGGAAGAAAGAGTCAAAAGGGTGGTTGGCACACTGTGTGGTAGTTTACAGAAAGACTGAGATACCTGCATCTTTCAGCCTAACACCTCACATTTCAGCAAACCCTTAGTTACTCGCCTTTTATGACATGCTTGTAAAAGGGGAGGGGGGAGGGAGAGTGGGCCTATTCTTGTTTTTCCTTGAAATCATGTCTCTGAACCCAAATGATATCTCATAAAAAAATTTTTATAATTACAGTGAAGTAGAAAGATACTTACATTTTCTTGCCAGCTTGTAATATTCATACCTCATACTTCGAAAGTACATATTATCATCCACTATTAGAACAATCTGATTTCTAATGTTCTGTCTCTCTGCGTTAAATAATTCCAGGACTTGTAAAAATTGCTGCCAAACGTCTACCAACAGCCCCTCGGGTTTTGTTTGAAGTGATATTTCTGATAAGCCATTATGACAAATATGCTGTAAAAGGACTTCAGTAGCTGTCACTACTTGGCCCCTGTCATGCTTCCATTTTCCATTCCCCTGTCGTAACAAAATAATTTTTAATATTATAGTCATTTTAATATTAAAGAAGATACAATACAAAGTTAGTCACATGCTGTTTTCTCATACACAGGACTACAGGGCTCTGTAGAGGGGAACAGGAAAAGAGGCAGACCAAGAAAACCTGGAAACAGAATTTGACGGGGTGACAGGCCTTAGTCATGCAACCATGAAGTTCATCGCATGTGACCGTCAAAGGTGGAGGGAGCTGATCAGACAGTCAATAGCAACTGGTGACCCTATAACCCTACATTACAGGATGATTATATGTCCGATCAGTCATCGTCTTCACGCCCATCAAAGCGATTTACTGCTTTAGAATCATCAAATTTGATAAAACAGTGGATCGATTAAAGTAATGTGGAGTTGGATAATGATAGTAGCGACGTGAAATTTCCCCAAACCGTTGACGAGTCAAGTTTTGATGAGGATGTGTGCGTAATTTACCTCCTGCTAAGAGGACAAAACTAATTCTGCCATGGCAACACAAGAGAAGCACCTCGTAACGCGACACCAGCTAGTCCAAATGTCAACGCTTCTAGTACTACTATCCATATCATCTAAAACTATAGATATATATCTATGAACAGGCGGACATGTTTACAGTGCCTTTACAGTTTTTTCTATGTGAGGAATTCAATTGTTTTTAGAAATGTCACTGTTTGTGCCACTGGAGAATATATTTTGATGTGTTATGGTAGTGTTATTAAAATTGCTATGCAACAACAACTATTGCACATTTTGCTTTAATATTGGCTGTGCATACTTATAAGTGGTGTACCTTCCTTTGTGATGCATTTTGGATATACTGTATCAAGAATTTTGGGATCAGCTTCTGGGTAAGTGGAAAAAACTTGTTCATAATTTACTTACCTCTCAAACTAAGTCACTGTTTTCTCTACTAAATACTAACTAACAGTATAATTGTTTGTTGTAGCAGTATGCTAATATTAATCCTTATCCATTTATGTTTAATTTTATGTATGATATGTGTATGTTGGACATCAGCTGCAGTTGTGTGGTTTGTTTTAAAGTGTTGCATTTGTTAAAAGTCAAAATCATATTACCCCCCCCCCCCCCCCCCCCCCCTTCTTCCTCCTCCTTGGGCCTCTGATGCAAAACCCCCTGGGACTCAAAGAGTTAATTTTCATTGTTTCATTATATATTAGATGGAGAATCATGATCTGACTTTTTTAGAACTTACAAACTGCTATTACTGCCTGTATTTATCATTTTTGGGTTCTATCTCAACACCCAACTCCACCCCCGCCCCCCACCCAAACAGCCAGCTGAATATTTTAGGGGGTGGTAGATAGGCTGCATGGTTGCACTCTCTTGTTGCAACCATTTTTGCAGTATAAATGGGGCAGGGGGACGACTTTCAGCCTGAGGATTTAGGGTTGTATAGCTAGTGTTGTCGTTACAGACTGTGGAGAGTTGGATTCTAATTTTGTCCCCCAAAAAAACAAAAAATCCATAACCTTACTGAGGATTCGAACTTAAGTCTCCCACACAACAGCCTAGCATTCTTATCCAAATTCTCAACAGGCATTAGGAGAACAATAAATAATTACATTTTATAGACAACAGACACATTATTTTTTGTTTAGCCATTGTATATACTCCTTGTTTTTAAAAAAATTCAAAAGCTGTTAACTCCGGTGGGTAGTTCCGGCTGTTTATCCACCTCTGGACTTTAGTCTTGTTCCACAACCTGAGTGCTGTGTGCACATCCATTTCACAGTTTTGAATTATCTTATGCAGACTATTTGTTACTTGCTTCCCAGGCAGATGTTTTTTGACTTTGAAGGAAGGCCCCCCCACCCCCCCCCCCCCCCCCCCCCCCCCCAATTAGTTGATGGCTCTCCTCCGAACTTCTACTCGATATTATGGCGGCCAAGCAAATAGCCTAACAGGGCCTCAGTCGTGTGTAAAATGCAAACTTTCTGCCAAGGAGCAAAACTAGGATTACTTGACAATTTCAAGAGATGCAACACTGCAGACAATAGTACCAGACGATAATAGCGAAACTAAGATCGGCTCAGTATAACGAAACAAATGCTCTAACAGGGTCTCAGCGATATGTTAATTGTGGACCTGTTTCTGGGACTATGCCTCATCGCCGACTGTATCCCCCTCGCCACTACGCGAGGCGAGGATGGAGGCTAAACTCGATGGCTGGGACTCACAAGCAGCAGCTACCGCATCTCCTACAACTTCCTCCAATTAATTTGCTTGTGAGTCCCAGGCACCTAGTTTAGCCCCCCATCAACGCCGCGCGTAGCGGGGCGGGGGATACGGTCGGCGGTGAGGCATAGTCACAAAAACAGGTCCGCAATTAGCATATACTGTCGGCGGTGAGCGTGACCGCGTTTTGTGCATGCTGAAAAGTTTGAGGACAACAACGACGCTAATCTGCGTCAGCACACGTGGTCTCCCCGCCATGTGGCTGTTATCGTCAGTAATGTTGCGTGTCTCGAAATTGTCAATGGTCGCTAGTATCGTCTGCAGAAATGCTCAAAAGTGACAACGGTCGCTATTATCATCTGCAGTATTGTGTCTCTTGAAATTGTCAGGTTATCCTAGTTTTGCCGCGATTCGTTCGTCGCCAGAAGTTCGCATATTTTTTATAGGACTGAGCCCCGTAAGGATATTTGTTCGGCCGCCGTAATGCGGGGGTAGAAGTTTGGAGAAGAGCTGTATAAACAATTATGCAGGACTTTTTTCAGGCGGTACACAGTACCGGCACCTTTTTAAGACACTTTTTTGTGAGTACCACCATATTTTCCAACATAATAAAAAAGGCTCTCCTTTGAAACATCCCCCAAAATGGCGGCATGCCACATTCTGGCCATAAAATATCCAAAAATATCAGAACCACGGTGTTTGTGTATATCTAAAATACGGACTTTCTGCCAAGGAACAAATCGCGGCAAAACTAGGATTACTTGACAATCAATATCAACATTTGCACACGGTAGTAGCAGACGATAAATACCGACCGTTGACAACAATTTCGAGCGTTTCTGCAGACGATACTACCAGACGATACTACCAGACGATATTAGCCACCGTTGACCAATTTCGAGACATTACAGATGATGACAGCCGATTAGCAATACTGTGTTCTTCCGATTAGAGGATATAGCAGCGGTAGATGTCAGACTTGTCGGCATGCGCCAAAAGCGATAATACTCATCGCCGCTACGCGCGGCGCGGATGGGGGCTAAACTAGGTGCCCGGGACTCACGAGTACAGTAATTGGAGGAAGTTGCATGAGATGCAGTAGCTGCCGCTCGTGAGTCCCAGCCATCTAGTTTAGTCCCCATCCGTGCCGCGCGAAGCGGCGCGGGGTATGCGCTCTGCGGTGAGGCACACTCGCAGAAGCAGGTTTGCAAGTAACGTATCGCCGAGACCCTGTCAGAGCGTTGTTTCGTTATCTGGAGACAGGCACATCTATTTTTAATAGAACTGACCCGCATTCGGATATTTTTGGATATTTTATGGCAAGAAATTGGCCAATTTAGCTCTCTTTCGAACGCCATCATATTAAAGCCGCCATTTTGGGGGTTGATTCGAAGGAGAGCCATAAAAAAGCCCTGCTCTTACGATTTAATCTTTCTTACCTTATCTTCTTTATCTAATGCGTATCTGCTGTCCACGGTTCGCCAGGGGACTATAGCATCGTACTCAATTCCAACAATCATAAATTGTGCAAGCCGCTGCTGCATTTCTTCAGAAGTGTCTTTACTGGGATAAAGCAGGGTTCTAAGCAGAGATGTTTTGCCACTTCCTGGTAAACCACAAAGCAAACAAATACATATATGAACATCGCTACAACGTGAAGACAACACTGTGGCAGTTTCTAAGTTAGTGCAGTCTGAAGTTCTGTTTTCCGCGTTACTAGGGGCTGCCATATTTACCATACCGCAGTAAATACTTACAGCTGTTGTTCCGTTTTGTTAAATTGTACACAAACCTGTTGACTTTCTTCCCGCCCTAAAAACAAAAATATCTTGCGGATCACTTTCCCTGACCACGGCCTTCTCTATTTATTTATTAGAGACGGATTTGCCCTGACCACTGCCTTCTCAAAGCAAGAGCCAGTTTACAAAAATTAACAAACATATAATTATACTGTTAGTCAACAATTAGTAAAGAGGCAAAGAGTGACTTGCTGTGAGAAGTTAGTTAGTAAATTTAATATTATTTTCATCTACTTACCTAGAGCTTCGAAATATCTTGACACAATTTATCCACAGTGTGTTGCACCATTTATGCACAGTCAATATGAAAGCAATATAATTTCTTCAAACACAAGATAGTTTGCACCTGACAACTGTCGATATTCTGCAGATATGGTTTCTAAATTACCTGTTTGTATTATCCCTAAAAGTTAGATTTCTACATTTAAAGTAGAAAAGTAATAAACAGCCAGTTCCCAAAAATCCGAACTACTGACTAGAAACAGTGACACTGACACACACATCACAACACGACTGTCTCCCGTGAATTACAATTAAAATTGCTGTAATCTAACAGCCTGTATTTCCACTTTACAATATCCGCTTGTCGATTTGTAATACTAATACAATCAGAACACAGAAGTTTGTAAGCATATTATAATGTCACAAAATGCAACATGGAAACGCTTGCAATAACCTATTTTCGAGGGGCTCCTCGAAAATGTGCCGTGATTCAGTTGTACGGCCTGACTGGAGCTGGCCGTGCCCTGACCTAGCACTGGATTGAAATTATAGCCGTCAGCCCTCGGGAAATTTCCATAGGCGTTCCGTCCCAATCTTGAACAGCCAGAGCGGATTTTTAATTTCAAAGCACAAACTAACAGTGATTAGTGATTAGAAAGGATTATCATCACAGCACTCCGGACAGATCCATAGGTGCTCCGATCTCCTCCTCAAAAGCTCCACAAGTGTAAAACGACTGATGACGCCTGTTCTGTGTTGCTTAATGAGACGTCTTGTCCCCTTAGTGAAATATTCATTTCTTGCAGCTCCAGGCTGCACCCCCATGTCCATCAGTCTATACAAGGATATGGAGTCATGTCCTTTGACGTGCTCCTCGGTACGGTAAGTGCAGCGCATGGCATTGATAACATCACTTCTGTCCAGTACTGGGCCAGCTGTAGCAATTGCAGTGTCATCAAGATAGTCTGCGCGCTCGTTCCTTTGAACACCCGCATGACCTAGCACAAAGATGAAGGTTAGGGCAGATATTTGATTTGATTTGATTCAAAAACCGACATCACAGCACTCGGGGCATTCCCATAGGCGCTCCGTTCCCATCTTCAGCAGCCAGCTAGAAGTTCCGATTCTGATTAAACGTCCGTTTTGCCTTTTCTCTGAGCCTCGAGCATCTGCCAGAATCTCTCGTCACTCCTCCCTGCATCAATCTCACCAGACTGGTGATCGATCTTCTCATTTGAACTGTACCCGCTCTCCCACAAGGCACTAAACACGTCTGCCTTATCATGTATCAGTATTCCACCAAGTTGTGCAGAGCCAGCCAGTCTGTCCGCCTGTTCATTTCCCAACAAACCGGCTGACCCTGGTGAAAAAATCCAGACAATACTCCTCACCCGTGTCCTCCGCAGCGAAGCATGCCACTCTGTACGAAACATGCCTGTTCTGATCTTCATCAGCATGCTTTCTGAGTCAGTTACAATCACGAAGTGTGTGTGTGTGTCGTGTTCTCTAGCCAGCGGCAAGCTGCAGTGACCGCCTCCACCTTCATTATTAAGCTGGATGTTGTGGTATCATATGCTAGGCTCTCCTGCACCAATCGTCGACCATTAACTTTTGCTAAGAACTTCCAAGCACTTCTTTTGCCTCTTGACACTGAGCTGTCTGTGTAAATGATCAAATCTTTGTGAGCTAGCATTATCTCTGCATTCCCGGCTCAGAGTGATTATGACAGATATTTGTGAAGTGCTTGGTGTTTCAATCCATTCTTGCCTGATAAATCCAGCTTGGATTTTTTAAGCATATTCATCCAGTCACTAAGAAAGCATACTTGTGTGAACTTTTGAGCACCATGCCATGCTATATCCCTTGTTACAGTCATAGTTTCCATTGTAAGGCTACTAGTTGTAACAGCAAAGGCGCTGTTTATCTCCTTTATGGTTTTCCCCCTTGAGCTTACTGTAAAGGCCCATGCACGACTGACTGACTTTCTACCCCACCAGGACATCACACAAGCGATAAACACCCGATGACACAAAGTGCCACCATGTGGATGAGGATCACCGTGGAGAGGTCCCAGAAACCGCGTTCAGACAATTGGCCATATTTATGGCCTGCCTCTATCGCGGTCCCTGGCAAAAGCCAGGGTGGGGCTTCAAATAAAACATTTCGTCCTAAAAAGGACGTAGGGTAAGGCCCATGCACTTCGCTTGCCCCTAATTACTGTCCCATCTGTGTAAACTACATCATCACCTTCATCTGTTTTCGTCAATCAGTGTTCTGACTAAAGTGTCAACAATGCCAGGAATCTGCTCTCTACAGCTTCCATCAAGTGTGATATGGACTGTAATATTAATGTTTGGAGAGGGAGGCATAATTGTCCATTCATTTCCAAAATAATGTCATTAAGTCGGCAAACATGTTTGATGGCATCCTCAGCCCGACCCATCCAGATTCGCCTCGTTTGAGTCAACTTTTTTTTTTTTTTTTTTTGTTGCTTGAATAATTCCTCATAAAGTAAGTGTCAATGGTCTCATTTCACTTTGAGAAAAGCAACAACCCTGGATAGCTTGATTCTGTTTTCCACTGTGGGGAAATCCAAGAGGTATCGCATGGATTTACAGGAGGTGTCTTTAGTGCATCCAAGAATAATGAGCATTGTCTCGTTTTCAATTTTTCCCAGTCTGTTCATCTGTGTGGTGCTGAGTGTCATGATGGCCAAGGCATAATATTCAATGGTGGAGAGAACTAATGCACGATACAACATTTCAAGTAGCCGTTCCTCAAAGTTTGCAGCTCCAATAACTTTTATTGCGGAGAGACCTTTCTTGGCTTTGGTTATAATGTGGTCTATGTGTTTTTTAAATGCTAAGCATCTGTCAAATGTTATACCCAGGTATTTCATGGAATAAGATCTCTCAAAGTCAGTGCCACTGAGTTTTACTTTCGGCATTGGTGTTCTAGAAAGGTGATTAAATAATGAGAACCAGGTGACTATCGCTTTTGGTGGATTAATAGTTGCCCCTGGGGTGTTGCACCAGGGTTATATGCGATCTAATTCCTGTTGTAGATCCGAAACAATGTCATCTCTGTTCCTGCCCTGTCGGTACACGAGGATATCATCCGCATATGACAGAGTTCTTCCTCTGCTCCTCGGTTGTTCTCCTGTCATCTTGACTGTGTAAATGTTGAAGAGGATATGAGACAATGGAGAACAGTGTGGCAAACCAGGGTGTATTGTTATCGGCTCAGAAGACCAACTACCACATCATAGCACGACCTTCCTCTGGAAAAGTGGGGCAGATATCCATCGAATGAGATGTGGGGGGATGTTGAGTTCAATTAACTGACACATTAGTTGGTGGAAGGGAACTTTGGTGTATCCATCCTCCAGTTCTATGGTGACTGCATATGTTTCAAAGCTAGCTTGAAAACCTTTAAATGTGTCATGTGCAAAGACAACAGCATTACGCCATGTCTCCGTATTTTGTCTGTATCCTCCAAGCGGGGAAGGTTGCAGCTGATGTATTTCAGCATGGCTTGCTTGTCTTCTCGCTATTATCTTTTCCAATGTTTTGTCTAATGTGTTCTGCATCGTAATGATTCTATAGCCATTTATGTGTTTGGCGTCTTTTCCCGGTTTTTCTAGCGGAATCAAATAGTTATGCAGCCAGGTTTCTGAGATGGTACCATTACAGATGCTGTCATTGTAGGCTTTACATAGGAACTTCATAGATTTTGTGGGCAGCTTGGCAATCTCTTCATAATTAATGCCATCAGGGCCAGGAGCAGACTTCTTTGTTGTTTTGATTATTTTCTTAATTTCAGCGACCGTAATAAACTGATCATCTTTAATGCCTGTACCGGCACATGTTGCATCGACCATATCCATGGTCGTCTGACGGGTGGCAGTGTCTTGCGTGCAGATTTGCTTGAGGCATCTGTCAAGGAGTGCTCTTCCTTTCTCTTCATCAGACCTTTTCCATGCCTGGTCTTCATTACGGAAGTCTCTGATGCCTCGGCGTCTGGGAACACCTGTCATAACCTTGTGTATGGACAAGAATTTTGCAAGAGATCTTTCCTTGCACACTTCATGGCAAAATATTTCCCAGGTTGTGTCATTGGCTTGCTGGGTAACTGCTTTAAAAGCTTCTGTTGTGGTCTGCATGGTGTGTTTACATTCCCTCAGTAGGTCTGGAGTAGAGTCAGTGGATTTCATTGCTTTCTGTCAGATCTTTACAGCATGTCTTTTAATTACCCACGCTGACTCAACCTCATCATTCCACAACAATGGTTGTTGCAGTTGTTGTCTTCGGCCTATACGGTGTTGGCTTTTGATTTTCCTAAGCTCGCTCACTACATCATTTTCCGATGTGTATTTAAAAGGGTTTGAATTGATCCCATGATGTGTACTGACACCCTTTTTAAGAGAATAACACAGGGACAGACTTCGAAGGAAATATTCATTATTAGTCGCCTCCTACGACATGCTTGTTAGGGAGCAGTGGGTGTTTTCGGTTGCTCCTAAAATTGGGCACCATAACCCACACGGGGATAATGGTGAGTAAAGACGGTTGACATGTTCCTCATCACTTGATTTAACATGTACCAGCCGGTCTTTAACGCACCGTGAGCCTGATGGGCATCAAGCGTGGACTTTATAAATAAGGTAGATCAACAGTATCCTACACTTAAGGATGCTAGTGAAGTTGAATGAATGAATGACTTTCTACCCCACCAGGACATCACACAAGCGATAAACATTTTCTTTCCATTTACATTTCTTGTAATTTGTATGTTGTATTTAGTACTTCTGTAACATTATTATTATTATTATCTTCTTTCCTCTTCTTCTTCTGCTTCTCTTCCTCCTCCTTCTTCTTCTGCTTCTCTTCCCCCAGCTGCTGCTGCTGTTGCTGCCTCTATTCCTGGTTCTACTTATCCGCGTTTTCCCGTTTAATTCTTCTTCTTTTCTTCCACCTTGTACCTCATCGAAGTGTCGGGGGGAGATGTAATGTTCGTTGATGGGCTCTGTCCCGTTTAATACAGCAGCGTATTTCAAATGATCAGCGGGTTTGTTGCATACTGCTCATTTACTGCTCATTGTGAGCAGTAATTTTTCATTCTGATACAAATTATCTTCTCAAAGCCTATCCACATTATTCAATAATTTATTTTTAATAGAAATGTTTGTTTATGTTTGTCTCTTTTGCATTAGAACCGGTGTCGATCTGATCAACGTTTACTTTTATACAGTAATCTTTGCTTGAACACGCAGTTTTAGTTTCCCTTTCAACCACCCCATCCCCTGGCACACACAAAACAATGGTTCTTAGCGATGTAACGATAGTGTTATCTTTGTTTACATAGTCCACGTGTCCTCTCAGATGAGCTTCACAAGTTATTGTTAGCCACTGGTTATCAATAGACACACGTTACTTTCGACTGGTTAGCTTGACGAGTATTTTTTAAATATTAAATAGAGAATGGGAGTTGTCGATGATATTTCAAACAGATGCAAAAATGTTAATATCTAAGAATACTTATACCACATTAGAAATCATAAATGTAAAGTTTATGTGTATGTTTTTCAGAACTTCTTCTTTTGTCAAAATCTGCTTGTGCCGCTAGGCGTCGCAGTCTATCAGATGATCGGCAACCGAGCCAGGGCGCGCTCAGTCGCTTCATATGCCGTGATGTTATGAAGTCTCAAGTTGTCCGTGACTCCTTCAATCCATCTTCTTCTTGGTCTTCCCCTGCCTCTTGTTGTTTCGATTTTCATGTTGTATGCTCTTGATGCTGGCATCGTTGGTTCCATTCTCATTAGGTGACCAAACCATTTCATTCTTTGCTTCTCAATAAATTTAACGATGGGTATGGTTCCAGTGACAGTGAATATATCTGGAATTTTATAAGGTATTATGCAACTGAATATAAAATAAATTATTCAATGTTTATTTGTGTTCGTTGATAAAGATTTGGTCAAAGCCATTGCTTTATTTATTTGGGAGTCGCCGTGTCGTTGGTGACGAGACCCCCAGGTCGACCCAGCCTTGAGTGGGTACCAGGTGCAGTCATTGGAAGTAAAGGCGGCCGGTGTGATGCTGACCACACCACCCACCAAGTGCCGATTGGTCTATAAAAATATAGGTCTAGCCCTATATTCCCAAAACGCCTAAAGGCATAGAAAAGGGATCTTTATTGATTAAATGCTTTATTTATACGCGTGTGACTGATTACTGTTTCCCCTTTACGACCGCATGATGGTTTAGCATATCTGCGATTCGAAAAGTCGAATCCTGAATGCTAGTCTCACAAGGTAAATCCTAATTACCTTGCTCATAATTATCTTGCTGTTCAGTTACACGCCAGATAGCACTCACAATATATTTTTTTTTTCATTTCTTTCTACTGGTGCCATTGTTTCAGTATTATAGATGGAATATCTTTCTTCTTCTTACCATTGTTCATCTATTTCCATACATTAGTATTGTCACAGAACATGAATTTTACGGGCACATCCGTTTTACATGTCTTTCTTATTTGTATGCAGACTGTTGGTTCCTCGTCTCTCAGGGAGATTCAATTCAACTTCGACGAAAGCACCCGTGATTATTTGACTATTACGACATGCTTGTTGGGTGGGTTGGGGGGGGGGGGTTGTTAGCCTTTTTTATTTTTGCCTCCACAATAAGGCCCTATAACCCATACAGTGAATAGATGGAATCTAGTCCAGCGCCCTTAGTCTCTACGTTTGTTCAAACTCGACATGCTTTTGGGTAGGCAGTGGGTCTATTTCTGTTTTCCCTTTAACAGGCCCCCGGATCCCCCACATTGAAAAAAGAGTTATAATTAGCCTAACTGCTACATCAAATACTACCCTAGTATACCATGTTTTCTTGTTCGGGTAGAGAATAAAATGTGGGTCTTAATTTGTGTGTCTATCCTCTTTTAGAGCTTTCTCTGTGCATCTTGTTTTCATCACATTCCCTGTCACGTTGAACGTAGCAAGAGCCAGTTTTTTTTTAAACTCATTAAAAAGTTGTTGAAATATACAATGCGTTTAAATATAAATTAAAATAAATGTGTATTAATGTATCAAGTACTTATTTATACCGTACACTAATAAAACGTTCTATCGTTTTATATTTTTATCTAATAAAACTTGAAATTGTTGACGCTGCGAAGCTGTAGAAAGGTTCGTGACGTCAACTTTCACATGGTTGGTGCCAGGCGAGACAATTCTCCGCTGACCAACTTCATAGGTTGTTTATTTCTATGTGGTAGACGTCTCGTTTAAACTAATAACATTAACTTGATATAAATATAAATAATTTAGATTGCCACGATTTCACCAGAAGTCATTAAATTAATGAAAGGAAAGAAAATATCAGAAGTCCTTGGAAAGAAATCGTTGGGGGTAGTCGTCAGTGCGCCTCTCCTGGTCGGGCGGAGTCGTCGACGAAATAAGTTTCTTTGGAGGCTCGAAACCTGTAAGCTACAGGTTGTAGAATCTTCATCTGCGTCATATTAATACAGACAGCTTCTCTGATCAACGATGGCCACAAACGGCGTGGAATACGAGTCTAGTGCCGACAGAAATGTTGAGATATGGAAAATAAAGAAGCTTATAAAAAGTTTGGAAGCCGCCAGAGGGTAAGTCGAAGTTTTTAAGTCCAGTTCTGACTGCCTTAACAGTTAACTTAAGAACTAGTAGTAACTAGTCATAACCATTAGTAGTCATTACAATATCAGTGACCGTTCAATGGTCATAAGATGAGTTAAAGATCTTACCCCTGATAATTTTTATTTAATTATTAAAAAAACAATAACAGCCCACCTTTTATTAATTTTATGTAAACATATGATATATGGGCTAACCTCCGAATAACGGGCACATATTATGGCGGTCAAAAACACACCCTGACAGGGCCTCAGTCACATGTACATTGCGAACTTCCAGCGACTACCGACACCGCCGACAGTATCTCCTAAACTAGATGGCTGGGACTCACGAGCAGCAGCTACCGCATCTCTTGCAACTTCCTTCATTCTATTTGCTGGTGAGTCCCCACTATGTAGTTTAGCCCCACTCCACGCTTAGTGGCGTGGGAGATACTCTCGGTGGTGGCAGAAGTCCACAATGTACATGTGACTGAGGCCCTGTCAGGGTATATTTTTGGCCGCCATAATATGTGCCCGTTATTTGTAGGATATGATAGCCGATATATGATTATATGAGTACAAGATATGGTAAATAAATTATTTGTAAACTAAATGAAAAATGTTTCAAATAAATCTCTACGGGTTACAGTATGTTCCCACCTGACTGACTATATACAGAATAATTAGGCTATCCTCCGAATAACAGTCCTAAATTATCGAGGCTAAGAAAATACCCTAACAGGGCCTCAATCATATGTAAATTGCGAACCTATTTCTGGCAACTACACTGCATACCGCGTAAAAGCTTCCGCCCAGTTAAAGTCACCGCCAAGAGTTTCCCCGCGGGGGGCAAAAACTAGATGTCTGGAACTCACGAGCAGCAACTACCCTATCTCCTGCAGCTTTCTCCATTTTATTTGCTAGCGAGTCCCAGCCATCTAGTTTTTGCCCCCCTCTGTGCTGCGTATAGCGGGGTGGGGGATACTCTTTGCAGTGGCGGTATAATCGCTGGAAAGAGGTCCACAGTTTCCATATGCGGCCCTGTTAGGGTATATTTCCGGCTTTGATAATTTAGTACAGTTATTCGGAGGATAGCCGATAATTATAATAATTATTTATTAGTAATTACATTAATATATTGTCTCTTTACAGTATTATGATAATTATCACTAAGTAATGACATACCTGCATCTTATGTCCGCATTGCTTAACTGTAACAGCAGTGTTTAATTTAAATAATTTTCATTTATGATGTATTAAACCAAAAGCAGCTAGGATTGAGAAGTCAAACGAGAACCTGAGCACTGAAATGACTGGGCAAGTAGGTAGAGGAAACCTTAAATTGATACTGATGTGTGGGAATGATATCTGTCATCTGGTAAAGGGTTTCAACTGTCAGAGTACAGCGACAATTAGTTCAGGCTCTCACAGTCTCAGTGTAGCAGTTGTTCAACCAAAACTGTTTCATGAAGCCAAGCCAGTTAGCCATTGTCAGGTGCATTCAAAACTAGGCCCCTGTTCACCTTAGTGAAATTTGGCCCAAGTTTCGATCACAGTGAAATGAAGCGCTATCATAAAAGATCTAATGTAATAGCCAGAAGAGAAATCTAATTGTGTAACCTTTACAGCTGCAGCATTAGTTTTGGCTGATTTTTTTTACTGGGAAATTTTAAATTCAGAAGTTTGCCATTTCTTTTTGATCGGAGACAGGAAGGTCCCACTCATATACCATAAGAAGAGCTGGCTACTGAAATGAGGCTTAAGCATAAAGTACAAAAAAGCACAATATTGCAATATTGCAAAGTTTATTGCCTGACATATTTTGCTGTATTTCATAGGCACATCATGTCAGCTAAAGGATCACATAATTACTCATAAGCTTCTGTGGTAATATATGCACATATTACTGAAGGTTAGGATGGAGTGCTTATGGGAATGTCCCAATAGCTGTGATGTCAGCTCTTAGCTCAGCGCTCCATCCTGACCTTCAGCAGCCAGCTAAGAGTTCCAGTTCTGCTGGTACCAGTAGCAGTTAGATTATATGTCCATCTTGGCTTTCCTCTGAGTGTTGAGTGGCGAACACATCTCTTGGTCACTCCTAACTGTACCATTCATTTCAGACCATAATGATCTCTTCATTCCTCTGCATTGTTCACTTGCTGCCAAAGGGGACCATGTCTGGCTTGTCGTGCATAAATTTGCCACCCATTCATGCAGAACCAGCCACTTTCTGCCTGATTGTTTCTGAACACTCCTGCATACCTCAGAGACAATATCCAAAGAATGCTAACTACCCGAAACCTGATACATGTTGATGTAAACAGTAGTAGTGCCCGTGATGGCATACAGCAAAATATGCCAGGCCGTAAATTGTGCAATGTATTGTGTTCTCATTATTAAAAAACGGTTGTGGTCTGATATATTCCATTGTTTTTCTCCAGAAACGGCACAAGCATGATTTCGCTGATCATTCCACCAAAAGACCAGATAGCACGGGTCAACAAGATGTTGGCTGACGAGTTTGGTACAGCATCAAATATCAAAAGTAGAGTAAACAGGCTGTCTGTTCTTGGGGCAATCACATCAGTACAGCAAAGGCTCAAACTCTACAACAAAGGTATTACTGGTAGTTGGGGCACCATTACACAGTTTTTGTTGTTGCAGGATTACTAATAAGTTCCTTTTGAAAAAAAAGAACACATTGGACTGCAGGTTACTTGGTAATTGTTGTTTTGCTTCAGTATAATGTACTATGTGATTGAACAGAGTTTCTTGATTTTGCTCTTGTTTAATTCTCATCATCTCAGTGTGGGTCCGGGGCCCTGTTGTGGGGACAACAACAATAGACCCACTGCTTACCCCCCCCCCCCCCCCCCCCCCCCCCCCCCCCAAATGCATGTCGTTAGGGTCGACTAATTGGAAGCTTCCTTCGATGTCGAAGTGCATCTGCCAGAGCGGCAAGGAACAACCAACTGCACACAAATAAGCCAATGAAAGAGATGTACTCGCAAAACTCAGGCCCTGGCACAAAGCCTAAGTACAAATGGACCAACAATTAGGACTTTCCACTGGAGCTTACAGCTGGTGAACAAAGAAGAATAGGCAGAAGAATTCTCATCCTTTAAGTGTTAATTCTCCCAATGTGGGTTCTGGGGATGGGGGGAGGGGGAAATAAGACCAACTGCCCTCTAACATGCATATCATAATAGTAGGTTAATTAGGAGTATCTCCTTCAGAGTCAGAGTGCATTTGCCTAAGAAGTGAAGAACCAGCAGTTTGCATACAAAGAAGCCAGACCTGTAAAACAGATGTGCGTGCAAAACTCAAGTTCTGGATCAAAACCCAAGTCTAGAAGTGGACGAACAACTAGAACTTTCTGCTGGAGTTTACTGCCAGTAGATGCTAAGAAGTCGAAACCAGAAAGAGCCAACAGATGATAGGGTTGCTTTGCAACATCCTGTAAAGAATATATGTCTTTAACCACTTCTGTTTAATGCGCTTAGTACATTATTTTCTTATGATATTCAGCAAGTTTTACAAAGGTTACATACATCTCTTAGTTTGAATTTGTCCAATTCGGTGAAATACAGAGCTTTGAGCAGATTATGGGCTGCTTTTGAGCTAATGTAGTTTGATGATAATTTTTGGGCTGACTTCTCAATGAAGGGTGACCACAGTTTACCACTGTTGACTTTAGGAATGTTACCTGGTGAGATCCCTAGTTCTTACCAATGCTTTGCTATTGGTGTCAAACATGGACACTATCTTCAGAAGACAAAAGGAAAATAGTTACAACAGAAATCTTCTTCTTCTTCTTCGCCTTCACCAGCTGTACACTCTGGCGAAAAGTTCTGGTTGCTCGTCCACTAGTGAACTGCAGTCCTGCTCCAGAACCTGAGTGTTGCGTGTGCATCAGTTTTACAGATCTCATTCTCTTGAATACAGACTGTTGGTTCCTTGCCTCTCTGGCAGATGCACTCTGACTTCAAAGGAAGCTCCCCAGTTAGTCGACTCTTACGACATGCTTTTGGAGGCAGTGAGTCTATACTTGTTTTCCCTATAATGGGGCCCCGGAACCCACACGGGGGACAACAGAAATGAAATTACATACTGTGCTAGGAAAGATCGACTTAGAAATGATGATATCAGGATAAGAGTCGGCACAGAACCAATACTGAACTTTATAGGTAGACAACAAATCAAATGGTTTGGCCATGTAACAGTATTGGCATCAGACAGGGCACCACAGAGAGTAATGTTATACAAAATCAACGGGAACAGATCCAGAGGTTGACCATGCAGAACATGGACTACATAAATATCAGAAACACTGAAAAATACTTTGTATGACCCGAACAAAAGGGCCTGTTCCAGAGATCTTGTCTACCTGATGCAACGAGGCTTTTGAGGAGCAGAGAAAATAAGAAGAGACCCTAGTCTCTTTCGCAGCATGACTCTAGTACCATTGTCCTAAAACCATGAAAACATATTTTTGTTTCCCTTCCACTGTGGGAATCGAACCCTTATTACTCAGGGATCAAGGAATTATTAACGGCATTCACTAACATCTTAAACACAGAGCTGCCCATATCTTGATGGGCAAACTGGTAAACCACATGGATTTCCTGAAGTGACTGAAAAATAGGCAGACTTTTTATGATACAGTCTTGCTTGATTCGTCACAGCTGTTATATTTAAGCCTGACTCTGCAGGCTCAACTAAGACATGCAAAAAAAATAACAGTCCCCACAGTGTGCCTGTCAGACAGGACCACAAACACCTGAGCACATTCTGCAGACCTGCCCACTCTACCTACAACTTCAAAAAGACACCTGGCCTCAAGAGCAGTTTAGTGTCCATGCAGATAAAAAAAAACTACTTATAATATTATCAGCATTTCTAAGTATGTAACTGATCCATGCCCAGCATCTTTTCCTCACCTTTTATCCTCACTGTAATTATTACCACAAATAGCTGCAGAAAACACTCTAAATATTTTAACTGATTACCTTTTGTATATTTTCTGTTCTTTACAAAAAAATTTGTTTTGTTACATTTACTGATAACAAAAATTAGACCACAGTTTGTAGTCCAGCAGTTGTATTATATTTGATGCCAGAGTTAAAAATGCTGATTGTCATTGTTGTTCATTTTCAAAATTATTTTTTTAAAATATATATGTTAGGCATCATTGGCTGGACCATGTGCTGGTTGGTGTGTGGTCTTAGCATGGCTTCAAAAACAAGGCTGTTTTCAACTTTATTAATCAGATTGTACAATGAAACTTCTGTCTGGTTTTCAGTCGCATTGTGAGGTGGCAAGAAAGCCCAATCTCAACCTTTCGCCCCAGTGACCTAGAAAAAGCCAGTGATCTGTAGTTTTGGAATTCCTGATTTAAAAAAAGTCTTTTAAAAAACTTATTTTTACACAGGTCACCAGTTCCATTATTATATTTTTTCTTAGCTTGCTGTACACGCTATAATTCTTCAATATGTTGTGAAGTCTGTATGTTTGCCTAGCATGTGGTGAAGCAGAGATAGACAGAGCTTTTGTTTTTATTGTCTTATTTCTATTTTAATCTTAATAAAGTTGGTCTGTCCCTGCTAATCAAGGCTGTAATAGTCTGTTGTAGTCTGCCACATTTTTGCTTTCCTAAAACCCCTGAGTAGTTGCCTTTTACAGCATTCTTTTTTAAGGAGACAGTTGGTCTGTTCATTCCCGATGAGATGTATCCATGCTGTATTTACTAGAAGATGTAAACTTAATTTTTTGGAAGTTAATATGAAATTATCTGTACTCTTCCTCAGTTCCTCCAAATGGTCTCGTAATCTACTGCGGAACAATCATCACAGAGGAGGGAAAAGAAAAGAAAGTCAATATCGACTTTGAACCATTTCGTCCAATCAACACTTCATTATATCTCTGTGATAATAAATTTCATACAGAGGTGGGTTTCATCTTATGTATTTTGAATGCTCCTGCTTAGTGACATTTTGTTAATTGTTTAAATTATTTTCAGTTTGGGGTTTTCTTATATGTTAAATAATGTCATACATTTGTATGTGTATGCATGCACGTGTGTTTGTGTGTGCATGCATGTGTGTTTGTGTGTATACATATGTGTGTTTTTCCTCAAATGAGATTTAAAAGGAAGACAGATTAACTCATAATCCTGTAATGGTTAATGGGAATTGTATGATGGAAGAGGTAACACTAATCGTAAGCTAAACACCAGTTTTTTTTATTGGCAGGAGATCAGTTTGAAAATACTGTGATGATTAGTGATAGGGCCTGTTAAGCATAAAACCACTTCAGTATTGACACTGTTAGACAGCCTGTAAGATGTAGGGAATGTTTGGTTTAGAGCTGGTTAGGTATAAAGCTTAGTAATTATAGAACCAGTTTGGTACAAAGCTTGGTAGGTATAGAACCAGTTTGGTACAAAGCATGGTAGGTATAGAACCGGTTTGGTACAAAGCTTGGTAGGTATAGAACCAGTTTGGTACAAAGTGTGGTAGGTAAAGAACCAGTTTGGTACAAAGCGTGGTAGGTATAGAACCAGTTTGGTACAAAGCTTGGTATGTATAGAACCAGTTTGGTACAAAGCGTGGTAGGTATAGAACCAGTTTGGTACAAAGCTTGGTAGATATAGAACCAGTTTGGTACAAAGCTTGGTAGATATAGAACCAGTTTGGTACAAAGCTTGGTAGATATAGAATTAGTTTGGTACAAAGCTTGGTAGGTATAGAACCTGTTTGGTACAAAACTTGTAGGTATAGAACCAGTTTGGTACAAAGCTTGGTAGGTATAGAACCAGTTTGATACAAAGCGTGGTAGGTATAGAGCCATTTTGGTATAAAGCTTGGTATGTATTGAACCAGTTTGGTACAAAGCGTGGTAGGTATAGAGCCATTTTGGTATAAAGCTTGGTATGTATTGAACCAGTTTGGTATATAGTTTTGAAAGTATAGGACCGGTTTGATATAAAGCTTGGTAGGTATAGAACCAATTAAGTCTAAAGCTTGGTAGGTATAGAACCAGTTTTATACAAGGCTTGTTAAGTTTAGAACCTTTTAGGTATGGAACCAGTTGGGTAATTACACTTTTAGGTATATAGCCTCAAAAATTTACAAAGCTGATATAAAAGATATGTGATACATAATAATAGCAAAATGTAATTAAACTTTGTCACTTGACACCTGGTGCCAGGCCTATAATATTTCTATTATAGTTTGTTTTTCTACCTATAGGCTCAATGTTTCTATTTTGATTCATTTCTCTTGTTTTAAACATGTTTTAAATTAACTGTTACTTGATCTTGTAAATCTCATTGTTGCCTTTCAGGCATTAACAGCTCTGTTGGCAGACGATAACAAATTTGGTTTCATTGTAATGGATGGTAATGGAGCTTTGTTTGGGACCTTGTCAGGGAACACAAGAGAAGTCTTGCACAAGTTTACTGTTGATTTACCGAAGAAACACGGTGAGAAGCCATGGTTGTTTGTAATATGGTCTATTTACGCATGGTTAACATATGTAAGTCCATTTTTATGATGACAGAACAACACAGAGTAACATACAAAGGCTGAATGTGGTCACTGTTACAACTGACATGACAGCGTGGTCATTGTTACAGAACAGCTGACAAGGCAGTGTGCTCAGTGTTGAGAAAGACTCACAAGACAGTGGATTCAGTGTTACAGAACAACTGCTAAGGCAGTATGGTCAGTGTTACAGAACAACTAATAAGGCAATGGGGTCAGTGTTACAGAACAACTGACAAGATTGCGATGATTCTCTTTTATC